TTGTAGTAGTACTTGTAGTAGTAGTTGTCGTAGTAGTCGTCGTCGTCGTAGTAGTAGTAGCAGCAGTAGTAGTAGTATCAGCAGTAGTAGTAGTAGCAGTAGTAGTAGGCGCCTTAGTAGTAGTAGTAGTAGTAGTAGTAGTAGTAGTAGTAGTCATCGTTGTTGTCGTGGTAGTGTTGGCGGTGGCAGCAGCATAAACCGATGTACGTATTCAAAACAAAACATCGGCAGCTGCACAACCAGGCACAACAAGAAACAACACCGAAACCCAAACCCGAATCCATAGCCCCTAGACCCTGAACCCCTTGACTCCAAACCCGAAACCCTAAACCCCATGCAACATTATGCAACTTCCATAACCTTGATACCTCTGGCTGGGGCTGCTGCTCGAAAGCCTGGCAGAGACAGGAGAACAGGCCGGGCTGTTGGGACTTACCCCTGGCGGCTGTTCCGCCCGGTTCTTCAGGGCTGAGAACTTCAATTAGTTTAGGATGTAGTGCTTTACGGGGTGTTCAAAAGTAATTTCGGATTTAGGGTTTAGGGTTTAGCGATGTGGCTTTTGGACTAGGCTTAAGAAGTCGGGCGCTTGGCGGCTGAACATTGTATCTAAGACCTGTAAGTAATGGCGTGGTTTCGGCTGAATTCAGGGCTGACTGGTTCACATAAAGATGGTTGGCGGTTTCGGGCTTAGGTAGATAGAGCTTAGGGACCAGGGATTCGGATTTAAGGTTGGGGTTGTCTCAGTTGTAGGTGTGACACTGGTCTAGACCATGAAAAGTTGAATTCGTCGGGGTAGAAGGGAACATACATGGCATACATCCCTGTTTGTAGATGCAATGTTCTCCAGAACCTTATGCATCTCGGTACGATTAACAGGACAGCTCGGCGTAGGGTTTAGCGTATCTTACGACACTGAAACCCATATTCCTGAACATGATCGTACCCGGAAAGTAATTACCCTTGTAGTAACGTTGTAGTACCCTTACACCAATCTTATAGCAACCCTATAAGCCTATTTGTTCATGCATCATGCTTGCTTGTGAGCGCTAAACGGACCTTTCATACCCTACAAACCCTAAGAACGAAACCTAGACCCGAACTTCTCAACCCTAAAGTGGCTCTAGCCTGGGAGTTGCCTCGATCTTACACTGGGATCCAGAATTTCTGGGTCTTTGAGGGGTTTAGGAGTTTGGGGATTCAAGAGTTTAATCGTGTTAGGGGTTGATAGGGGTTTATGAACTTGCTTCCGGGTTTTGGAGTTCGGGGCTTAGGGTTCAGGGCTTTCCTGGAAACCTAGTCTTACTGAGGACCCCTTTCCTATTTCATCTTCTTTTGCAACTTATCACACAAGAAACCTAGGTCAGAACAACCCCAGTGGCGCAGCACGGGAGCCTGAATCTGATAAGAGAAAGGATACCCTCATGAGCATTCATCTAGGGACGGCAAAGAGTTATCGTGGCTATTCTTAGTATTCGCACCAAAACCCTGAACCTAAACCCCAAACCGTCGACTGTAGAGGGATATCATTACCATTATTCGTATCCGTATATTCGTACTATTACTGCTGCTACTGCCGATTTCCTCAAATCCCTCTACTAGACCTGGTCTGGACTGGTGAGTCCCATCTGTCGTCAAAGATCTGAGTTTAGGGATTGCAAGGTTTCTGGGTTTAAGGGTTTAGGAATTAGGGTTTAGGGGTTTTGGTGGGGATTTAGGGTTCAGGGTTTACAAGGTTTAGATTTTCTGGGATTGAGATTTAAGGCGACGAGTTTGAAGCTACAGCGTTTCTAAAACCACAAACTCCCAACCTTGCACCCCTGCACCCCTGAACTCTACGTCCTAAACCCCTAAAGCCTAAACCTAGCCCCACAGTATCTGGAGTTCCCTATATAATCCAGATCATGTCGGCGTGCCTGCATAACCTCGCCGCTGCTTGGCCATATCGGCGACGCAGATGGCGAAAAGAGCGGAAACCCATGTGAGTGTGTTAGAGTTAATGGTTACTGTTCATGTGGTTAAATAAACGAACACATACAGATAACAAATTAATTCACTATGATGATTTGCTTAATTAGACATTTAATATATATATATATATATACATATATAAATGCCGAGAGAGAGGATTTAAAGTAGTTCGTAGGGTTGGGGGCTCCGGGTAGCAGGGTTAAGGCTTTAGGGCAACTTTAGGGTTTAGAAAAGCTGATCGGAAGGAGTGTCTTCGGCTTCGGTCTTAGGGTTTAGGGTTTTAGGGTTTAGGGTTCAGGGTTTAGGGTTTAGGGTTTAGGGTTTTCGAAACGACATAGAATGGGAAGGAGTGAGCCTAAGTGTCCTCACTATCCCTTTGGCTCCAGCTACCTAAACAGTGGTTTACTCGGTTAAGTATTCCAGGGTTAGTAGCCTACTACTAAGCTCCTGGGGTATGACATGACGGATCTCCTATCTCGAGCAACTACACATGCGTCGGTGGGCTCCGGCAATTTCAGAGGGCTGCCATCCCGTCACCAGCAAGCTCAGCTCTTCAAACAACCAGGGCCAGCACGATCTTTTCCCCAGAGTGCCGGGCAAGTCGCTTTGGGGCCCTGCGCAGTCCATCCGGGCAAAGGGCTACTTGCTCAACTCGAAAGCTCCTGCAGCTCGAGAAATACAACCCGGTCACGATCAGAAAAAGCTTGGCGGATATGAACTCCGGCCTGGCAGATCGTGGCTTGAAGACGTCCCACCTCGGGAAGTGGTTGCGTCCAATGTCCATGGCGCAAGGCTCGATGACTTCTGCTGGAAGCACTGCTCGATTTCACCGTTTCTCGCCGGATATGTCGAGACGATCTCCTTAATAAGGAACCACGGGAGAATCCGGATCCGAGGTGACCCGAGGTTATGATGATGGCAGGCATGTTGTTGGGTTGGGTCGTCATGAGTTACACGAGGCCAGCATACCAACCTCACGGACCTTACAGCTCAGAGTGAAAGTGAAGGTTGGGCTCACCCGAGCCAAGGGCAGCGGCCCGAACTACATCAAGGGCCTCCTTCAAGTTGGCAAAAGCGATGTCTTGGCTTCCGATGCCCCGGCTATCCGGCACCAGGGGCAGCAACGTCATCCGCAAGTTGAGCATCTTCGACAGATATCGGTAATGCCCTGCAAAAGGCGTTCGGAAGCCGAGCTCGAAGATCTCAACATCCTCTGGGCAGAAGAGGATGTTCGACAGAGCACCGCCGTGGGCTCCGATGACTATCCGGGCCCGGGCGAAGAGCTGGGCAGTGCGCTTTGGCTTGGCACTTCCATCGAATACCTGGCCAACAAGGAAGCCCAAGGACTGCTGTTACTGTTGATGATATAAATCCTGTATTACCTTAAGGACCCTAAACTATGGGAAGTATGGTATGTTGGGTAATGCAGATTTATATCATCAACCGTAGTATGACTGGTTCTTCAAACCCTTTTCAAGACTCCCATGAGTCTCCAGGTGTATACCGTCAAGACACTCATCTATAACAACCCTGAGCAGTAGGTAAAGGATGGGGGTGATGAGGCTGTTCTGAATGTCGATGTCACTTCTTGTCATGTATCCCTCAAGTACGGAACCGAGTCATCAACACCGCAAGGGCACCTGGAATTGCAGCGTCGGCGTCGCGAGCTGCTTTAGTTGCTCTGTGAACCAGGACTCCTGTGACAAGCTTGTTGAGCCATGTGCTATTGATTCTTACAACAGGCATTCTGGAGTGTAGTCTATACCAGTAGATTACTAACAGAACCCTATGGAGTGTAAACTAGTCCAGTATAACTGCTCCTATAATCCATGTTCAGGCAAGCATCGTCTTGTAGGCTGCTTCGCATATCGCCCTTCTTCCGCTTGATGAAGATAAGCCTTGGTCTCATGTGGCTGCGGTGTTTCGTAGGGCTTGGGGTTTACGGTTTAAGGTGTTTGAGGGTTAGGGTTTGCAGAGATTCAGGTCCTTGGGGGTCGGGTTGAGGGAGTGCATTTGGCGGGGTTTGTGCAGTTGGTACTCGTAAAAACCATAACCCGTGAACCCTAAACCGAACTGCACCCCATAGACTTCGATCCCACCGCCGACTAGCTTGCGGTTAGGCTCTGTAGGGCCTGTAGGGTTTAGGGCTTAGGGCTTTAGTGTCAGATTTTCTTCCTAAGGCCCCAAGAGGCATTTGAGTTTACCTAGTGCTCACGACCGCCTGGTTCGCCTAACATGTCTCATTCGGAGGAGTGCCCCGAATCTGAGAGGTATGCGCCCCCCGCGCAAGGCCAAGCAAACATACCTGTAGGTCCCCTAAACCGTAAACCCAAACCGGACCAAAAACACGGAATCCGAAGGATCAAATCGAATACAAACAAGTGGAAACTCCCTAAACCCTAGACTTATACCCTAGATGTATACCCTAAACATATCCCCAAGCCAAAGGTTTATACCCAGATGACCCTAAACCCTAAACCCTGAGCCCTTGGTAGCAACCCCCTTAGACAAGCCCTAAACCCTAAACCCCCTAAAACCTAAACCCTAAACTCTAAACAGACCAGGCACGCACGAGGCGCCGGCTTTGCAGCAGCGAGCGGCTGCAGAGCGCTGCGGAGGCCCCGGAGCACGGCCCCCGGTGTGGGGCAGTGGCCACCATCCTCGGAACCCAGTGACTAAGAATATCCCTTAATTAAGGAATATACCTTAAATTATAATAGGATCTCTAATATGATTTAAGGTATATTCCTTAATTAAGGGGTTTTGGAGTCTCTAGGAAGCTTCTGGGGTTTCGTAGGGGAACTTCCTTTAGAATGGGGTCTGTTCTATGGGTCAGTTTTCAGGGTTGCTTGCAGGTTTATGTTACTTTACAGTTCTAGGCTAAGGACCAACAAAAATCAGATTGAGGTAAGGTTTTCTTTCGCTGGGTTCAGCCGAACTGCGTCCCCGAACTTCACCGGAGGCTTCCAGTTCGCGAAGACGAGCGTTCCCGCCCGCAGTCGAACGTCATTTGGCCCGGATGTCCAGTGAATGAACCTCCGGAAAGGGCTCAAGTACCAACATAAGAGCTTCGTAGCGGACATTTGGGCCCAACGTATATACAGTACCACTAGGCTACTAACTACTATGCTATACTATACTAAACTATACAATCGTATCCTATCCTTTGCTATACTATACTATGCTATGCTATGCTATACTATACTATACTATACTATACTATACTATACTATACTATACTATACTATACTATTACTATACTATACCGTATTATACTATACTATGCTATACTATATGGTACTATACCATACCATACGATACGATACGATACTAGACTAATTAGACTACACTACACTACACGACACCACACTAAACTAGACTAGAATAGACTAGACTAGACTCTACTCTACTATACTCTAGTATATTCTACTATGCTCTGCTGTACTGTACTGTACTCTACTCTACGCTACTATGCTATGCTATGCTATCCTGTGCTACACTATGCTATGCTAAGCTATGCTCTGCTGTGCTGTGCTATGCTATGCAATGCAATGCAATGCGATGCAATGCAATGCAATACTATACTATACTATACTATACTATACTATACTATACTATACTATTTCTACTATACTGTACTATACTATACGGTACTATACTATACTACTATTTGGATCGTTTTTGGGCTGGACAAAACTTGAAGCTCCTGAGCCACCGCAGCGGGTCCATAACCATTGTAAATCACGGTACATTTTTCGTACTTATTTTCCAAAATGTTTATATACATACATGTGTATATATATAGACATACATACGTATGTATGCACATACATATATACATATACATATATACTTTATATCCATCTATGTTCTACATGTTTATGTGTATGTATATATGCATATCTTATATACATATACACACATATCTATATGTCTATACATATATTCCCTCTACATAAGTTAATACATGCATACATACATACATACATACATACATACATACATACATACATATATGTATATATAATATACATAGAGAGAGAACTTCCGACTCGACCGGTTCCTGCAAGCAATCAAGGAGCAAGACAAGGATAAAGGATGCTATCCAGAGGTTCCATATACCCTTAAATCATATATGAGCGGCCGAAAGTCCTTCTGAAGGCACTACATTTTGGCCAACGTATAGACTATACGGGTCACGAACCCTTATGCCCTGAACCTTTAAGGGCGCCATAAAACCTGTATAGTACCCTTTTAAACCCATGTCCAAAGTATAGACTGTATGGGTACATGGGCCCTTCGAATACCCTTAACGACCCTAGACCGTAAAGACGAAATACCCCTAAACCCGCAATACGAGCGAACAACCCCAAACCCGAAATTGCACCCAACCCGGGTTAACCCTCAACCCGAAGTAACCCGAAACCTTAAACTGCTATGAGCCCCTTATAAAAGCCCTTAAAGGAACCCTTGAAGGAACCCTGAAGGGCTACTTCAGGAGCCTCTTGCTTGGCAGCTCGAGCCCCCGAGTCAGCAGCTTTAGCCCAGCAGCCAGGAAACCAAACCTGGTTTTTGCCAAGGAATGTCAATTAGGGGTTTAGGGCAGCTTAGGGTAAAGTTTCGGGTTCCTGGCTTTTGTCAAGGAAGCACAGCTAAGGGCCTAGGGTTTCAGTTTTTTTGGCTCAGCGGCCCTTTTCCTCGCGTACGATGACTCGGGGAACGACCTGTCGGCCGGGGCCCTTGATCTTCCAAGGCTTGCACAGATCTGGCGAGTTTGGAATCCCACTGTGGGACTACATCGCCTGGGCCAGGTACGAAGTCCGAGTGGTCGACTGTTCCAGTAGCATAAATCCAGCTATGGCAACCTTGAAGACACGGAACGGCTACCATCCCCGACACTGTCCTTACATCATCCACACCTGTGTGTGGAGTAGCGGGCCATGGCCTCCTCAACGAAATGCCTCCATCCCCTGTGGCCGGGTACTCGCTTAGCATCAGTGCCCTCAGCTCCTTCCTCTCCCGTCCGTGTTCCTTCAGAATCGGGTTCACGGTCTCGACCATGTTCATGCAATTCGGGTAGCCATGGGCGGAGGGGGTTCTTCCTGCGTCATGGGCTCCAGCCTGGCTGTCATGCCTTCCAGTCCCTGCTGCATCTGTGCTTGGAACAGCGCGAGGAGTGGGAGGCCCCCGACAGTAAGGATCTTGTCATCGTCGGCCGTGCCTTCTTCCACTGTTCGAAGAACCCTCTCACCAGTGGGTCTGCCATATCCAGCGATGCACTGCCATGGAGGATCTGCATCGGTGGGACGGTCTGGGCCTTTTATTCGTGTGCTTCGCTGGAGGTGGCCGTGTCCTTGACTGTTGTAGGTAGCAGGTACGACGGGTGCCCGTTCCGAAACCATTGTCCCGAGTCTGCCGCACTTGCGCCTGGAGTGTGATGTCGACGGGCGGTGGAGCTCCTTTCCTCTGAGCAGGACGGCTTCTGCTAGCTGAAGGCAATCTTTCAGCAACTGATCCAGCACCGGCTCGCTGCGGCCGCTTGTCGCCTTGTCGCCATCTCGGTCCAGCTCACCTTCCACGGGCATAGAGCTTGCTGAAGCCTCCCAGCCAGCCTCTTCATCCCTTTGCAGAGAAAATGCACGGATTTCCGAGACCTCGACATCGTGAAGGGCCTCCATCATGCGGCCCATCTCTTTGTCCATGTCGCCAGCCTGATGCTGGGTTGCGCCAGAAGGGGCTTAGAGGAACTGGACGAAGTTGGGTATGCCGCAAAGTTGCTTGAGGCAACAAGGCTCACGAGTCTTTGCACTCCGTTCTAGCTCCTAATGCGCAGGCTGCAGCCCGGGCTGCAGTGCTTCAAGATCACTTGCATTCCTATGCCAAGGTTGAATCCGCAGACATGTCCAGAACCAAGGCCGTTTACCACTATATGATGGGCTTGAGCCAAAATGGCTAAGGTTTAACGGTTTAGGATTTATGTTTCTTGTTGGGGAATGTGAGTTAAGTGACCAAACAGTAGGGTTCCTCCAAGGTTCTAGAGGAGTTTTTGCTACGGAGTTTAATCTACCACAACTTAGGGCTCCATTATAATGCTTCTATAAGGGTTTGTGGTTAAGTTAAGGAGTCTCGGATACGTTACCGCATTTTGGGGTTCTTTTAAGGGTTCTGTCAGGGTTTAGGGTTATAAGGACTTTAAGTTAAGCTGCCAAGTTTTACAGCACAGTTTCTGTAAGGTTTTCGGGGTTTCTGGTCAAGAAGTTTAGCTGAGGTTGCCATAATAAGAAAGCATATGCTCCGCGATAGACCCTATTGTTCCATTTAAATTACCAAAACAGGAAATCGCATGATATACTATAGAACACTACTATTACGGTAACTTCAATTAAAGTCCTTCATAAGAGCCCAGAAACGGTTTTGGCAGCACCAGGTGCATTTCGGGATCTTTCAACACACCGTGCGACACCAGCAACCAGAGCCGCCCAAGTACCTGTTCATATGCAATGTAGCTATTTAGCATAATCATGGTATATATAAATATATATGTAACTGTGTATATCTATATATATATATATAGAAAGAGAGAGAGATAATGCTCCGGCTCAGGTTTTCAAGCTGGAAATTTCGGGGAACGGGAGGGATCAAGCCTAATGAGGTGCTGCATCCCTGCATGACCGTGCTGGTATCATATCACCAACGTACTGTATCGGTGCGAGATATGCGACACTTGACGTATCATCTACATTGGTGTGTTGCTGCAGCTTGAATTTCACCCTAAACCCTAAACCGTAAAACCTAAACCCCAAACCCTAAACCGTTCTGAATGCAAGAAGTAGACATGAAAGCGCCGTCGATTGGAACTGACAAAAGGAAGGGTTTAGGGTTAAGGGCTTAGGGCTACACTACACTACACTACACTACACTGTACTACACTACACTATACTATGCTATACTGGGCAATGTGCCAGGTTGAGGGTGAAAGTGAAGTCTCGGGTACCAGGGTTTGAAAGGTTGGGGTTTCAACAACTGAAGCATAGATACTTAATCTGCAGACCGAGGTTGCTCCTTCTGTAGAGGTATTGTCATCAAAGAAGCTGGCAGCTTATCGCCCTAAACCCTAAACCCGAACCCTAAACCATCGAAGCATCTGCTTGGCGGGGTTCCAGAAAGGACAAGTGCAGAGGTCCCACGCAATGAGATGTCGACGCACTAAAGACGGAGAGAACCTTCGTCATGGCAATGGCAGCTGTTCGTTGTTAATCAATGCTTTTCGAATATGGTTTTGTCGCCACCAGCCCTGATTGAATATATAATTGCAGACGAAGATTTACCCCTGGTCCCTTTACTGCGTTTTTGTTCACGATCTTCACACGCGAAACCCGAGACCATGCGCTTCGATCGCTACGTCTGAAACCTACACCGACACCTCTCGTCTAGCCTCCGTCAGCACGTGGAAATGCGATGCGGCGGCAAACTGCACCACACTGGCCACCTTGGAAACCTGCACATCGGGATTGCATGCAGGAGCACAGCGACCCTCCCTATCACGCCACATACAACAACATCAAGTATGCAGGAACGAAAGTTGGAGTTAAGTCCGCGACTGGAAAACCCCTATAGAACCCTACATAAACCGTAAGACTTGTTTGAATGTGGTCTGAGCATGGTGGGCCGCTGAATGACAGTCCAGGGAAGACCGAGGATTGGATTTCAAAAGTTAAAAGACGGTCTTGAGGGTCTCAGGCAGTATAATTGCTTGAGTACAGTAGTACAGAACCCTAAACCCTAAACCCTAAACCCTAAACCCTAAACCCTAAACCCTAAACCCTGAAAAACAGATCCTAGGACTCACTAGTCAGGCCCCTGCTGGGAATCCTCCACCGAAAACCGAAAGGACGACAGACTGCAGCGAGGCTCCCTCGATGTTCCTCGCTAAACCTTAACTCCCTACTATAGAAGCCTTCAAAATGAGAAAGGGTTTTGGGGTATATAATATATATATATATATATATATAATAATATTGAAACAAGGAACCAAAAAGCAGTATTGGTAATTTTGTAGACGACCTCTGTAACTGTATTACCTAAACCTTGTTGACACCTGCCTGGATGTTTTAGGGTTCGTTATCCTGGTCTCCTTTAGAAGTCCATACAACAAGGTGAGTCATTGGGGCTAAGATACATCCTACATGCGAAACTTGACCCGATAAACTCTGACCTGCAAAACCTTCAAGCCTACATACCTCAATTCCTTTCGAACCCCATAACCCGACAATCCTTGCAGAAAAAGAGCTTATAGTTTCGGCAGCCCTCAAAAGACATGTTGAGCCCTAAATCCCTACTGCTAAAGCCCAGCTAAGTTTGGACACGAAGCCCTCATGAATCTTTGCGCACCTCCTTGAACCCTAAAAGCACGAAAGCCCTAAACTAAACCCCTCAAGCCCTGAAGCACCAGAGCCCTAAACCGTCTCGAAGCCCTTTCAGACCTGAAACGCGTACCTGCACGGGCTTCTCCCACGATCCGTGCTCGGGCGCCCGACCTGCGAGAAGCATAAGCTTAGGGTTTAGGATGCCACTACTAACTACCTAAAGGCTTCATTGTAGTTCCTCTTTGTGCTTCATATTTTGGATCCTATTATGAAATCCCACAAAAGGACTACCATGGAGACTGCAGCAATTGCGAAAACCTTAGGGAGCCCTCAAAGTAGCCCCTAAACCCTACACCCTAAACCCCAAAACCCTAAACCCCTAAACCCTGACAGCACCCCTGTGACCCTTAAGACGGTCCTACCGGACTAAAGGAATCCAGGGCCTGGCGAAAAGTAGGCGTTGGTGGGCTGAGGGTTTAGGGTTTTAGGGTTTAGGGTTTTAGGGTTTTAGGGTTTAGGATTTTAGGGTTTAGGGTTTTAGGGTTTAGGATTCTAGGGTGTAGGATTGTAGGGTTTAGGATTTTACGGTTTAGGATTTTAGGGTTTAGGACTTAGGGCTTAAGTATATACGTCTTCTAGGCGATGTGCAGAATCGGGTAGCTGTCAAAATCATGGTCCCTTTTGGAGAACCCTACACAACTTTACTCTTGCTGCGCCGCCCTAGAGTTTGGGAATCTAAAATAGGCCCTAATTTGGCAAAGACTCGGAAAACCAACTCAACAAAACCGGGCGGGCAGAGCAGACATTGCATTCTGCAACAATTATACGTACGGAAAGGTACGATGGCAATATAAACAGCTAGAAAGTGTTACGTTAAAGCCGAGGCCAGGAATAGAGTACCCCTCCTGTTCGTTGCGGTTGGCGAACTCTCACCCTCAAAGGACTCATATTTTAAGACTTTTGGGCCCAAAGACCCTATTATATGAGGCTTTTGGGCTATGTTGATGCCTAGGGGAACGCTCAGGCGTTCAATGTCAGTGCTCCGAACTGTCCAAGCCACATAAAACAAGAGTCCAAGTCCTCCGACCTGAATTAATAGAACCTACAGGTGGGGAGTTTAGGGTTTCTAGGGCTTCTATAAGGTTTCTATAAGGTATATAGACTTTTTATAAGGCTCCTATAACGGTAGCTACCCACCTGAAAATGTTCGAGACTGAAGCTCCAAAACAACTGAGGTCACTAAGAGAACTCAAAAACCGGTGAGGTAGGGGCCTTAATGATTATAATGGGGTTTTGGGGTATATTCTACTGCAGATAGAACAAGGAACCCCCCACAACAGTATTTGTAACTATTCAGACCCCTATATCACCCCTTTGAAACCCTTGGAAACATATTCGGATCTCAGAGGCTGGTAACCCCAAGCATTAGAAAGCAACATTTTCCCGATTGCATTTAAGGAAACCCGAGATCCGGCCTTGGGAGTAGTCATGCCATTTCCACCGCGGTCCTGAAGAATAGGGAGTAGCTGGATCCCCCCAGACCTTCGCAAGCGGTAGGGCTGACGGTTTAGGGGTTCGGGTGCCAGGGTTGGTGGTAGAGTTTGGTGCATGAAGGCTTTGTGGGCTTTCGGTTTCGTCCTGATCTGGGTTGTAATTGGGAGAACAACAACGAACCACCGGAAGCGCAAAATACTACTTGGAGGATCATGGGGCTTAGTAAGTAAGGCTATAACTACCTTAATTGGGGTTATACTTACTTATAGGTATAGTTACCTTATTCATAGCCCCAGTTGCTAAGTCCCATGATCCTCCAAGTAGGCACGAACTCGGACGAGCTGCAAACTCAAACCCTAAACCCTAATCCATAAACTGCATAGCCCTGGATCCCTGCAGGTCCCGAGCCTCCAAGCCCCCATAATACCCTGGGTCTGGAAATCGCAAGAGAGTAGCACGGCTCAAGATGGTAATATAGGGGCCTTAATAATTAGAATAAGGTTTTGGGGTATAGTATACTAGAAATATGATAAGGAACCCCCCCAAATATTATTGGTAACTAGTTACTACAAATATCATAAAGAACCCCCAGAATAGTATGGGTAATTAGCTACTACAAGTATCATAAGGAACCCCCAAAATAGTATGGGTAATTATTTACTACAAATATCATATTCATGCTGTAGACTAGTGCCCGGGGGAGTGATCCTATGGGTTACTTCTCCCGCTATAGAACCCCATTACTTGGAGGCCCTTTTGACTTAGTAAGTCTACTTAGTATCCCCCAGGAGCCCTATTATAATCCCCATAACCCACCTTACTAACCCTACTTACTAAGTCAAAAGGGCCTCCAAGTAGCCCGTGCAGAATCCCGGGAAGACCCTTGAAGGAACCCTTGAAGGAAGCCAGTGGGGCCATGCCTCCAACAACTGCAAGTTCGCCGCAAGATTCACAGCCAAGCCCGAAGAGGCCAGAAAAATGTGGCAGTTCCTTGGTTTAGGGCTCATAGGGGTTTAGGTTTAGGATTCACAAGGCTTGGGGTTTCGGGAGAGACAAACCCTAAAACGTAAACCCCAAACATCCCTACACCCTACTGCCTAAACCCGATAGATCCTCATCTCCGAATCCCAGATCCGAACCTACATCCTAAAGCCCCCAAACCCTAAACACCTGCAAAACCTACAAGACAAGCTTAAACCCTAAAGCTCGAAACCCAGCGGCTTCTCGTCAACGATGATGCCATCATCACCTGCCAGCGCCACCTCGTCTCGAGGGTTCAAAGCCTCTAAAATGCTCCTAAAAAAGGACCCTCACTAAGAATCCCTGCATCTTTTCAGGGTGCTCTATATGAATCTCACTACTTGTGATTATTCTGTATCAGGTGCCTGCATTATGTGGTTTTCTATAATAGGGGCGGGGTTCCGATCAGGGCTCCTGGAAGCGATCCTGATAAGGTTTCCTGAAAGGGGGCTCCCCGTGCGATAATCTAGGTTTTGGGGTAATAGGGGCGATTCGGGTTTAGGGTTTAGGGTCTAGGTTTTTGGGTAATAGGGGTGAGGGTTTATAGGGCTTGGGATGCGTGGTGACCTTATACATGCTGCAGTATCGACCCCGATGCGCTGCTCTCTTACAACGCTTCCGCCAGAAACCAGAGATCTCCAACCCCTATAATGGAAACGGAGAAGAGCTGATGAAAGGGGTTCAGAACAAGGAGGCATCTAACCCTCCGGGTGCATGTACAAATAGAGTAGACTTTGGCCCTAGATACTAAAGTACGTAGTTTTCTTGGAGGCCCTTATGTGGCCAAGTCGAATGCAAAAAAATGCTCTATTTCGCTACAATGACATTTCGGGAAATCCTAGGGGACCTCACGCAAAAACAAAAAACACAAGTAGGCGACAGAAGTTTTAAGACAATGACGGGTACGGGCTAAAGTGAGGAAAGTGTTTGTGGCTCAAGACTGAGGAAGCCTGGTCAGTGATGTTCCGGTGTAGCATGTCATGCTATGCTTTGTTGAACTGTGTTGTGTGTTATTACTATACTTCATTTCATAGTGGGCAGCAGGGGCGATGATAGACCTGACTCTTCAACAAGTTCGGGTGTGGTACGACAATATGTGAGCCAGCGTCAAAATTATTTGTTTGTGCTAGGC